TTATCTGTTTATTTCTAGCAGAGTTGATTAATATTTCCTGAATTGAGAATTATATATCTATTATACATTCTTCAGTTAGTTTAATTTTTATTATCATTACGATAATACCACATATACTTTGGATATGTTAGTATGATAGTCATCTTTGCATCACTGTGAACAAAATACTTGACAAGAACAACTTAGAGGAGAAAACGTTTATTTTGAGCTCATAGTTTCAGAGGTTCAGTCCATGATTGGCCAGCTCAGTTGCTCTGGGTTCATGGTTCAGAACATCATGGCAAAAGGGTGTGGCAGAGAAAAGCTGATCTTGGCAACCAGGAAGCAGAGAGTGAGGGAGAGGTGCAGGGACCAAGATAAAATCCCCAAGAGCTCAACCTCAGAAGTCTACTTCCCCCAGCCATGCCCCATCTGCCTATGGTGATCACCGTAGTACAGTAGTCCTTTCAAATTTGTATTCTACCAAATGCATTAGTCCACCAATTAGGTTACAGCTCTTGTAATCTAATTATTCCACTTCTGAACATTTTTTCATTGTTTCCTTAACTTTTGGGGGACACCTCATATTCAAACCATAACTTTCCACCCCATCCCCAAATAGTTCATGCCCATCTCCCAATGCAAAAATGCATTTAATACATCTCCAAGAGTCCCCACAGTCTTAACAGTTTCAGCACTGCCCAGAAGTCAAAGTCTAAAGTCCCCTCTAATACTTAAGGTCAACTGTTGGCTATGAGCCTCTATGAAGATCAAAAGTGAATTATATACATCCAATATATAATGGCACAGAGTAAACATTTCCATTCCAAAGGGGAGAGATGGCACATAGAAAAAAGGAATGGGACCAAAGTAAGATTGAAACCCAACTGGGCAAATAGTAAGTTCTATAACTTTATGTCCAGAATCCAGAGCATATATTGGTGAGACGTGAGCTCCAAAGGGCTTGGGCAGCCATGCCCCTATGGCCTTGCTGGTTGCAGTGCTTATGGGCTCTCTCTCAGACTAGTTCTGTCTGAATCCAGCAGCTTTTTCCTCAGGTTTTCTATGTTACTGGTATCTCTTAATCCAGGGGTGGAGGTGGGAGTTGCCCCTGCAGCTTTGCCTTTCTTCACACAGCTTCACACATCACCCTCTCAATGATTGCCTACAGAAATTCTGACTCTGCTACACTTTGCCTGGCCTTCCAGGCCTTCTTTCAGCCTAACAGAAAGTTGCAGGACATGGGCAAAATACAGACAGATTCTTTGCCAAGAAGTAAAATAAATGGCCTCTACTCCAGTTCCCAATAGAGTCCTCATTCCCTTTTGAAACCTCATAGGCACAGTATTTACTGTGTGCATTTCTATCAGCATTCTGGTCTTTTGAGCTCCCACCAGAATCACCTGTTAAGCTCTGCTTACAACATTCTAAGGATTCTATAGCCTATATCTCTGATCTTTCCAAATTCTTTGCACAAACTAGGTCTAAAGGCTTGAACCACATGGTCAGGTCAGTCACAACAGTGACTCCAATTCTAGGTTTGTATTTCTGTGTTAGTTTTTCATCACTGTGACTAAAATATCTGACAAAAAATACTTATAGGAGAAGAAGTTTGGGCTCACAGTTTCAGAGGTTTACTCTGTGACCAAGGTGAGGTAGAAAATCATGGCAGAAGGGTATGGTGGAGGAAAGCTGCTCAGTTCATAGCAACCAGGAATCAGAGGGAGGGAAGTGCTAGGGGGTCAAGATATTGTCCCCAAGGGCACATCTTAAGAGACCTATTTCCTCATCCATGCCCAATCTGCCTACAGTGACTACCCAGTATATTATTCCTTCCAAATTATTAATCCATCAAATGGATTAATTTACCATTTAGGTTACACCACTTACAATCTCATCATTTCACCTCTGAACATTGCTGTATTGACTCTTCTGCTTAGGAGGACACCTCTTATTTAAAACATAATAATTTGTGGATTTAAAATTTAATATTTATGCATAGGACTTTTAATGTATTTAATATTTAGTAGTGTTTACTATGCTTCCATCACTGCATTTTTATCATTTTAGTTGCTCAGATTGTTCCATCTTTAACCCATGGCAATCTCTTCATATCGACTCCTGAATCCTGTTGACACTACCCTAGCAGTCTTTAGTAGCTTACTTATATCTTGTATCACAATATGATCCAAGCACACCTTATAAATTTCCATCCCAGATCTCAAATCAGCCATTTTCCAAAACTTAGGAAATGGTCTTCTTTTTTGAAATATTTTTTGTTGTAGATTAACACAATACTTTTATTTATTTTTATGTGGTGCTGAGGATAGAACCCAGTGCTTCACATGTGCTAGGCAAGCACTCTACTGCTGAGCTACAACCCAGCCCAGGAAATGGTATTTCAAGACTACAAACTGTGGAAGTTTGTTATCACTAGATTGGTCATTGTTTCTCTGCGTTTTCAGTGGGCAGAGCTAAGAAATAAGTATATAGACGTACATACATAATACATCAAGAAATGCTAGGGTTTTCTTCAATCATACATATGTATCTGCTTTCCCTATGCTAAAAATAATTACCAATGACACCAGGAGTGATTAAATGGCAGTCACATAATTGTTTAATTGTTTCATCTTAGAAAGCACACACTACAGTTTTAGCACAATAATAACACTACTACTAATAAGCAATACGATTACTGGAAACAATTTAAGATTCTTTTAACAGTCCTTTTTATTATATCACAGTGGGGATGTATGAGTAAATTATTATATTTTAAAGAGACTTGAAATCGTTACTTTATATGTGATTATTATACTACTAGTAGTGTATACGTTTATCATATTTACTTTTTTCCTTGAGGAAAAGAATCACTTTGAAGTTGAACATTTAATTATATTCTGTGATTCTGGAAGGTAGGCATATGAAACTTGCATCCATTGTAGCTATAGCAAGCTGTAGAAGCAGCATGGAGAATCTGGGCAACTTCCCAGGTTTTCCCAACTTATCTCTTCCCATTGCAATTGTGTTTAAAATTGATTTCTATAAAATTGAACTCTCATAAATTCAGATGGAAGTACAAGTACATTTTCTAAATATAAATGCTCTGTCTTTACCTTGGTTCCTGTGTTTATATAATTTAGAATTAATTAAATATTGACTTTGTGTAAGTAAGCGTATACATATATATGACTCTTTGTAGCAAATTTCTCCTTTTGCACATGAGGTCTATCAGAAAAGCAAGACTTAATCATAAATATTTCTGTTATAGAATTAATCAGACCTAAATATTTTTTTGAAAATTTGCCTGTGAAAAAAGGTTTTTGCCTGTGATATGAATGCATACTTGAAAAGTTATTATAGGGAAATAACATTAAAAAAACTGTGTCAAACAAAATTCCTTTTTTAAAAAAATTAAATTCAGGGAAAAAATGAAATGGATTATCATTCTTTAAACTATGCAGTACTGTGAAATATGGGTATTTTTTTCAAAATGTGCAAAATAGTAGTTAATTTTATATTTTGAAGTAAATATAGTTTTTAAAAATTCATGATACAGAACAATTTTACATGCTAAAACATTTGTCACTTCCTATATATCAGTTTCTGTGCTGTTCAATTTATCTCATTTTCTCTTTTTTACAATACTGTTATTGAGCTACTACTAGTACATATCATGCCCGTTTTATAAACTTCTTGAGGAAACTGAGCCATAGAGACATTAAGTGTCTAAGCAAAGATCAACTTATTATTATCACTTCTTATTGCATTTCAATCAGTTGCAGGTTAAAAAATGCAATTATGGAATTTTTGTTTGCATTCATATTTTTTGTTGTTCTTTTTAGATATACATGACAGTAGAATTTATTTTGGCATATTATACCTACATGGAATAAAACAATCTAATTAGGATCCTATTCTTGTGGTTGTACATAATGCAGAGTTACCCTGGTCATGTACTCAAATATGAGGCTAGGAAAGTTATGTCTGATTAATTTTACTATCCTTCTTATCCCCTCCCCTTCCATTCCCTTCATTCCCCTTTGTCTAATCCAGTGGACATCTATTCTTTCCCTCTCCAGTCTCCCTTGTTATAGGTTAGATCCACAATAAGAGAGAACATTTGGCCTTTAGTTTTTGAGGGCTGGCTTATTTCACTTAGCATGATGTATTCCAGTTCCACCCATTTATTAGCAAATGCCATATTTTCATTCTTTGTTGTTGCTAAATAATATTCCATTGTATGTATATATATATATATATACCACATTTTCCTTATCCATTCATCTGTTGAAGGACACCTAGGTTGGTTCTATAGCTTGGCTATTGTGAACTGAGCTGCTATAAACATAGATGTAGTTGCATCAATGTAGTATGCCAATTTTAAGTCCTTTGAGTATATACTGAGGAGCGGGATAACTGGTCAAATAGTGTTCCATTAATGGTGGAATTTTTGAAGAAGATTCTGTAATTTCAGGGAATCAAATTTAGATGAGAACTATAAACTTGGTATTAATGTGCAGTGATTTTACATATATAATATAATATAGTTTACAGTAGTTGAAAATATAAAAGTATAAAATTTTGATGTGACTATTCAAATAAATATTAATGTTTTCTTAATGTTCTAATATATAATAAATTGGTGTTTAAAGTCTTAGAGATTTTTTCAACAAAATATATTTATCACAGGTAAAAGTTTAGATGAAAAATAGTTATAATATTTTTTTCAATTTTCTTTTAAAAGTGTACTTAATATGTGTTATCCTTTATTATATATGTTTAAAATTTGTGATTTAGAAACTATGCTTAGACAAAAATAAAAATATCTTTTTTAGTTGATCATCTAAGCTAACAACTACTAATATTTTGGGAAATAGCAGTCTAGTTTTTTTTTTCTATTCATATTTCTTTTTTATATGAAATTTCAAGATTTTTCAAATTATAGTGCAATTTCTCACAAAATATTTTTTAAAGAATGCTTGATTTTTTTGAAACTAATGTGCATGTTTCTTTTTTAGGATTGTACTGTATATGAAACAGAGAATAAAATTCTTCATGTGGTAAGTATATTTGAATTTTCATCTCATTAGAGAATATTTCTAAATAGAAATATTCTTACAAAAAAATGTGAGCAATAAATTTAAAAATCTACTGACCACATCAGTTAAGTGTATATCTTTAAGGAAATTTATAGATATATCAAAAATATTGATTATAACTGTTTTATGGTATATAGTAGAGAAATATAATATTTGAAGATTGTAGTATTTAGCAAGTTTAGAGTACAATAAAATAGCCTAGAGAAAAGGTAATTTAAAATAAGAATTTTTCACTGTGACAAAAAGAGATTGGAAAATGTATTCTGTTCTACATTAGGGATAATTCAACTCTCATCATTTGGATGAACTACTTTATATCATAATCAAACATCCTTTACTCTGATTTTATTTTCACCAAACCACCTTCCAAATGGTAAATTATCAATATTTGTTGAATGAATTAGTGGCTTTGTTGATATTTTATTACTAGAAATGAGTTATGAGTACATTATACTTTGTGGAACGGCATCTCCTTTTTTGTTATTGAACAACTGACCACTTTGGTATGTAAATTTATTTCTTGATTGATGCTGGTCTGTCCTAACAGCTTCTTCACCTCTAATGTGAGATCATGGCATTTCTACCCCTACAGTGCTTCTTTTATTTCTACTTTGTTAATAAGTTAATATTTCTGAAATATTTTAATATTTATAAAACAATACTATTTTGTATTTAGAAAAGCAAATGTTTAAGACATATCTTACTTAAGTCTGTAAGGGGAAAATATTCAATTCAGAATATCAGCACTACAGCATTACTATTCCATTGTGTTATCTACTACATAAATAATACTGAATAATCCTTTTCCTTTCATTATACAGTAGTGATGGCCTTTCTGACATATTAAGATGGTGTCAAGAGTGGACAGTGAATGTACTCTTCTCTTCATTAGTCCAGAAAGGAAAATAATTTCACCAACCTCCTCTGGATTCACTTATAGGCTCTACAGAATAGAAAGAATATTTTTTAGGATTTATATGTTCCAAGTATTAGTTTAGGTTCTGTAAACATATTACAGATTGAGCATCCCTAATCTGAAAATCCAGGATTCAAAACACTCCAAAATCTGAATCCTTTTTGAGCACTGACATGATATCGTAAGTGGAGAATGCCATACCTAACCTCATATAATGGATCACAGTCAAAAACCATGCCAACAACAGGTTTTTCCAATAACACCAAGGGAAAAAATCGCCCTCCTCTTTATCTGTGATATTTCTTTCCCATGCATGTCTGGATTTCCCCACAGAAGCATACCCAAAAGAAGAAATAAAATGGAATGTGTGCAAGCCAAATGCACCAACTGTAGTTTCATCATGATGTCCTGCATGCGGCCAAGATCTACACACATTGTTCACAGTGACCGATGCTATGGTGGCAGCAGCGGTTGCCGCTGCCGCCACCGCCGCCGCCTCCTCCTCCTCCTCCTCCTCCTCCTCCTCCTCCTCCTCCTTCTCCTCCTCCTTCTTTGGTGCTTATTCTCTGTTCTGTGGGGTAAAGTTATTTTTGAAAATTTCAACAAGGTCTACAAATGCTCCTGTGGGTAACAGTTAAAGAAAAAAGAAGTATTTATATTAATTTATAGCACAGAAATTTGAACTGTTGAAGAAATTGGACAGTGGTGTGTCAACCCTCTTACAGAAGAGCGTGGTGTTGGAATGATCGCCTCTATAATATGAAGAAATAGAAAGATAAAATGCTGAAGTTCTTTGCTGAATGTGGGCAAAAGGAAATTAATGAAAAATAGAAAAACATTCCATAAATCAAAAAATGAGCATCTAGATTATATATTGGAAGAGTGGACCCATCAGTTTTACAGGAAACCCATTCCACTTAATGTTGTGCTGATCATTAAACCAGCAAAGATCTATCAAGTTGAACTGAAAATTGAAGGGAACTGTGACTGTTCAACAAGCTGGTTGTAGAAATTTAATGAAAGACACAACATTAAATTTTTAAACATTTTTTTGTTATAAAGCATCTGCTAATCCGAAGCAGTAAAGAAATCCATTGAAATGAATATCAAAGGGGGTCTTAACATCAATAGTGAAGCTCCAGTTGTTCTCTCACTGACCTTTGGTAAAATAGCCAAATTGTTTCAGAATCAAGGTGATCATGATAATAGTGTCATTGAATATGATGTTGTTAACACTAGAGAAAAAAATTTTCCATAGGTATCATGGTGAAAATGTATAGTGGGCTTATTGAAAAAGTAAAGTCAGTCTGCATTTATAACAGAACAAGAGATCATGACAGTTTATAAAATCAAAGAAAGACTTTTAAGACAAAAAAAATGTTATTAATGAAGCAGATGACTCTGAAGGAAACATTTTAAAAAGCTATCCAGAACAATGCCTCCACATTTCTCCTTCTCCTTCAACTGCTAGTGATTTTTTTTCTCACCTGAAATAATAAAATCCAGTGTACAGTAAACTTTTTATCAAAACATATCATTATAGGTAGAGATTGAAGTCTATCATTTTTTATTATTGTTGGTTAACAGCTAATACAGGTATTTTAGATATGTAACTGTCCTGCTTAGTTACTCTGAACACATTCTTTTTTCACTGTATCAGTTATGTCATCTTTTTACTGTTACCTTCAGGCTATGTATATAAAAGGCATATGAAATGAATGAATTTCATGTATAGACTTGGGTCTTGTCACCAAGATATCTCATTATGTATATACAAATATTCCAATATCTGAAAAAAAATCCAGGGGCTAGGATTGTGGCTCAGTGGTAGAGCACTCATCTGTCATGAGTGAGGCACTGGGTTTGATCCTCAGCACCACATAAATGTAAAATGAAGATATTGTGTCCACCTAAAACTAAAAAAGATAAATATTTTAAAAAATGAAAAAAGTCCAACATCCAAAACACTTCTGCACCCAAGCATTTTGGATACTCATCCTGTGTCTCAATCCTGTTTTTACAGATGGTGAACCTGTAGGTTGCAAATATCAAGCTTCAGTGTTGAGTTTGAAAACAGATCTAATACCAATGTCTGTGCCCATTCCAGATCTGGTATTTGCTAACAATTCCAGTTCTCTGAGACTTTATGAATTATACTATCTTGTGTCCCATGGATCTCAGGGCTACTGTCTAGCTATACCAGTTAGCTATAAAGAATATAGAATATAAAGAACTTGAACAGATCCTTATTTCTACATTTTATTTCCTTTGTGTGACTTTTGTGGGCATGGAGTTCTATGATGACTGTTACTTCTGGGGTACTGAATTTATTCAGTTAGACTTTGGCTTGCTGTTGTGGATTCTTCATTGTGTTTAATTTAAGGCACTTATTGAGGTCAATGTGTATTGCCATTTTCTCTTTATAAATTTTATCAGGTGTAATCTCTCCTGTTTTGACATCAAAAACAGCTGTTACAAACTAAATATTGAAATAGTTGGCAAATACATCTCATGGTATTTATTTATTAGCTTCATTCTAAGTTCTAATTTATATCCATGATTTCTCTTTGCCTCCATTTTCTCACTTAATATATGTTTGGTATATGTTTTTGCATTTTTTGACATAATCTTTTATATGGAGGAATAGTTCAGTAGGTAACATATGTGCATTCATAATCAATATCCAATGTTAACCAAGGAATTGAAAGTGGTTCATAGAAAAATAATCTGTAGAGGACTGCAAAGAAAGGTGAGATTCTATTTCTGAAGAAGAGGCCACCATGTGAAAGAATAATAGAAACAAATTTAAATGTGGAAAGGAATAATATGGAATTGCTCTTGTAAAAAGTACCCTAAATATAATTTTTAATATTTATGATAAGGAAATGACCTCTTTAATATTATAAAATGATGTTTTAAAAATTATTAAAAACCAAAATGAACAACAGTCAGGCTTTAAATTGACTTTTAAATCATTTAAAATATTTTTTTCATTTTTAACAATGTTTTTAATATTTTAAATGATTTTTAATTTCTTACCTAAATTCCTAATTTTTGACTCATATCATTAGTGTATGGACATTTTACTTCTCTTTCTTATGTGCCAGATTCTGAGCTATTTGCCATTACAAATGAGTGACAGCATAACTAATACTGAAGAAATTTAAAAACAAATGCCACCATGGACAATTTTGCATTCCAGCTAGTGAGAATTTTAAAATCTATTATGATGGAGATAGTGGATGGCATTAATCAGCCAATTCAGCTCAGAACGTGCTTATATTTTCATGATAGCGTTTTGTTTCCCATTCTGGTTTATGTAAGGATGGCCCAGCCTCCACTAGAAGACTGTATAAATACTGTGTGTCCATTTGTTCACAATAAGAATTAGTTTTTTTAATAATAAAATAATGAGCCAAACTACTTGGTATATAATGTTAGAATACTTTCTTTACAAATACTTTTTTTCAGAGCTACAATATTTCCAGGTTTCTTATAGTGTAGAAGAAATCATTTTGAGTCTAAAAAATAGTATATGAATCCAAGTTGTATTCTACCTCAGGGATCTTTCAAGTGATCTGTTTATTAGAGACTTTTCAAAATATATTTTTTTTAGTTGTAGATGGACACAATACCTTTATTTAATTTATTTATTTGTGATGCTGAGGATCAAACCAAGTGTCTTACACATGTGAGGCAAATGTTCTGCCATTGAGCCACAATCCCAGCCCCATAGAGACTTTGTTTTTAATATGTTAAATGGGACCCATAGTACACTTTACATATGATAGTTCCTAGGAGAAAATAATAGGTTTTCTAGGCAGAACTTTATAATTTATGATTCTCTTTCCAGCATTTATTTATTTAGATTTGTATTATTCACATTTTAAAAATTTTCTTCTTTTTTGTTTATGTGCACCAGAAAATAAAAAGACTGAGTTTTGGTATAGTCTATGTAGAATCAAATTGTTGGTTAATTTGAATGTTTTCCTTATTTCTATGATACTTGAATATGCTAAGTAAAATATTAATGATAATAACTCTT